CTCATATTCTTCTATTATTTATGTCCGACTGTCAAATGGTTTCCACATGAACCGCCGGGACTAAAAAGGAAGTCCTTCAATCTGATTTTTTTCTGCACCATTTTCCTTTTTTTTTTTTCAGGGTGTTCACACACCACTGCACACGTTCTGCTCCGGTTCGTGTGAAAACATTTCTGAACCAGGTGTAGCTCTCATGAACCTCCACGTTGGTCATTGGGCTTTAGGCTTGGTTCAGTCAGAGGTGATTGAACAGAAATATTGTTTTTCTTTTTGAGGAGTGGGTGTGGGGGGCATGCTGATGAAAGGTTGATTGATATGGTGTCAGGCTCTGTGTGATGGATTATATTGTGTGTGCAGACACTGCGGCCCTGGCCAGTCATGGCTGTTGCTGCCTTTTCTGCCAGCCACTGTTGCGGCAGCTTTAAGAAAATTTGATTTTCGCTGTTCAGAAACATACGGCAGTCCCTTTCTCTCCGCTGCCTGACTTCCATTTAGTTTGAGAGTGCACAAGTGATTCTTTATTGGATGAAATCTGCACCGGATTGGATAAAGTGTTAGAGCGCTGAGCCATCTATCACTATCACCGCCACAGCTCCAGTTTCATTTTAAAAGAAAAGAATGAGAGCTGAAAAAACAGAAAAGAAAAAGAAGAAAAACAGACAGCCATAGGATGTTGGAGATTTGGAAATTAACTGTGGCAAGGAAAGAAAGAAGATCCATCCTCCAACCACTAAGCCTGTTTCCTCCAGTGGAGAATACCCAGCTGTTTTTATTTTTTATTTTTTAGAAAGGCCTCCATGAGGTTCTGGTTCACCTGACTTCTGAGGTCTCTGCGTTGAGCTGACGTGATAAATGTTCATAACTGACACAAATGTCAAAGATCTTTACAGTTTTATTGATATGTGAACTAAAGATGCTAATTGTTACAAAGACTAAAAAACTCTCATATCAAATGTCAAAGTCACTTTTCTTTATGAAGAAAACGTTTGCAATAGAGACAGTTATATAATTTTTTCACAATTTTATTCATGATAAACGGTGAAAGATCATTTTTTTAATCATGTTGTGACATATTTTTCTGGACCTTTGTTGAATGCTACTTTCGTGTGCAGACTTGATTCTCTGACCTCTGTTAACTTCTAGATTTTCTGTCCTTCTCTTCTCCATCCATCCGAACCCTAACTTATTTAATTATTTTAAACAAATTAATTAGCCCTGCAAAAAAATAAAAAACTGTTTTTCTTCTCATGTTGCATGTAAAGTTAAGATCTGAGTGAATTAAGAACCAAATGACCTAAAGGCCATTTCCCTTTTTCTTTTATTCTCTCAACTTTAAGACACTTTATTTTATAACTTTGACTTTTTACTATGATCTAGATCTGATTTTTCTTTCTTTACATAATTTGTTTAAATAGTTATTTACTGTGTTTGATATGAACATCCTGAAAAACTGTCAAGTGTCAATGTAGTGTCAAGTTAAACTTCTAAAACTCAACACCATTAAAGAGAGAGTGACTTGTTTGTTTTGCCACGTCCCTCACTGCCCCCCCCACACAAACACAAACACAAACACACACACAAACACACACACACATCCATTTCTCTTCCATTCATTTTTAAACACAATCCTCCTCTCCGTCCATTAGTGCATCTCTGTATAAAACCAATGACCATAAATTTACTTATGGGCCAATGCAGGGAAGAGATGTGGCCATAAAAAAGAAAGGAAATAAGGATGGATGGAAGGAGGCAGGGTAGAATTAAACAGCTGGATGGGAGAGTGGCAAGAATGTTGTTATATGTGATCCATTTAAAAATGTATCTTCTATGATTTACATCAGCTCCGAGGCAGCCACTATCTCAAACCTTTACCCTTTAATGTCCGTGTGCCTGGCTTGTCCTGAGGCAGTTTGGACCCAGACTTTTCCCAACCCCCAGGCTTTATAAATCATATGGCGCCGAACGCCACTCATCAAGCTGGTCAGAGACCCCTAACGAGCAGAGGGACCCCAACTCTGCACTGAAACAGAATGTGTTTTATTTTTGACCAGTTTAAGCGTGGGTTATTCAGGACGTACGACTACTCTGTAGAGCTCTCTGTATCACATCTGCATCAGGAACAAACAGCCAGCCATGTTGGACATGGTTCTGCACTTTGTTGACGCAGTGATGTAGCTCACAGTCTTCTCTGCTCCGTCTCGTGCACTGGCCGGTGCTGAATGCCCTCTGTGGAGCACTTGGATTATTTCCTGGCTCCTCTATGGCTCCTGTGGGACCTTATGACCTTTGCACTTACGCTGTAGTTACGATGGCTCTTCAGAGAAGAGCACACAATCACCAGTCAGACCCAGCGGTCTTCCTGAATAATGGTCTCCTGTGTTTTCTCTTTTTATGCCCATTGTGTGTTTGATGTGTAAAAATTAAACTTCAATTCAAAGACGCTGCTTCTTTTGAGGTAAAGGTACAATCCTGAGGTTTTTGTAGACTGTATAAAAAAGGATTTATTTGAAGTTGACCCCTTTACAGAGTTAATTCATTTTTTTTTCATTTAAACACGCCAATCAAATATCTCTTTTTTTCTTTATACATTAGTTTGAAATGTGCAGGTTTAGTTAGTGGCTTCAAACATTGTGTTAATTATCCTTCTGTCGCGTTAGAAGGTGAGGTGATTGATGGAACTGTGAGTCCGATTAAAGCCACAATTGCTGTAACTTTAAAATAGTCTTATACAGGAGCTAATGTTTTTTAGTATGAGCTCTGGTGAATTAATGTCATTTCTGCTGAGGCGTTCAGAGGTAAAATGAGACATGGAAAAAATCCTATCAGAGTTGGAGGTCAGTCTCTTCATAGAGGGAGACCATCATTAAAGAAATCCACTATTCAGAAATACGTTACCAAGGATAATGGCAGGTACATTTCCAATGCACATTTTTTAATAAGTAAGAAACAGAGTCTGATTGAGCGTGGACTCACTGAGAGAAATAATACGTCGTAAGAAATTCACTCTTTTATATTCCCTTTATGTTTCCAGTATCCAAAGTAAAGAAACCAAGTGAAAAAAATCATTACCTGGTTGTTTCATCTAACTCTTTTCTTCCCTCAGCACAGAAAGACTAGACTTATTAAAGATGACTAGAACCTAAACCCCACCATGCAGCATATCTCTTTCCTCCTCTCTTCAACTTTTATTTTTAATGGAAAATATGCCCTGAGCTCGTTTACTCAGGAATGGGTGATATAAATGTTTAAAAATTTTACAAAAAAAAAATGTGAGTGTAAAATGGAATGGAAGAAGGAAAGGACAGGTAATACGAGAAAGATTTGAATCTTAATAATTCAATAAGCAGTCCTTCACTCTGTGTTTCTTTTTTCTACTTTGACAAGTGTTTGATGAAGATACCGGCGTTCCCAGTGCTGGGCTGCAGCAGGGTAAATGTTGTATATAGATCGGCCGGAGATAATCCAGCACACCAAGCCAAGAGCAGGTAGAAAACTGACCTTTTTCAGGCAAAGTGTGAGAGGAGGAGAATAAAGGGACAAATGGCTGTAATTAGGACAAGGTTAGAAGATGACCAGGTAGACTGAAGCATCTGTGGGTTCATTAAATACACATACACCCGTTTACACACTAGCAAATACATGTTTGCTCATTACTTTGTAAATAAGTTCTTTAAGCATTTTAAAATAGTTCTTTAATCACTGTTGTCTGATTATATATTATATTATATGAATTTACATTACATTACATTACATTACATTATATATTATTATTTTCCATTAAATATTCCAGAGGCCACGTGGTTCCTAGCATGAAGGTTTTAAAGCCATGTCCATTATACAGGGGTATTTTCTTTCTGACTCACCTTTTTCTCAATATTAAGACAACTGTCTATATAATGAATTTTTAATTAATCTGTTCTTGAAAACATTTTAATTTGACAAAAAAAAAGATTTTACAATGTTAAGAAGAAAGTTTTTACCCATAATCCTTTATTGCTTTTGAATAATTTAAGTGAATGCTCATTTTATTCCCACTCTTGATTCCCAAACCTATGACCTGCTGACTGGGGGAACCCCAGGTATTTCACTTGGCACTGTCGTTTTTTCACTGCTCTAATTTTCAGCATGTGTTGTAGGTCTCCACCACAGTTGTTAGTAACTTTATTAATTAATTAATATTCGTAATGAAAATGAAAAAAACCCCAAAAACCTAAGGTGTGTGGAGTAAAACAAAGGCGCAGATGAGTAAGAAGAAAGTGGGCTTTGCTGCTCTGAGGAACAGCCCTCTGATCTCCTTTTAAGTTGTGGCCCAGCGTGCTCAGCAACACAGCCCATCAAACCTGCAGCCCCCCAGGGTTCAAGCTCTGCTCAAAGGATTCTCCTCTCTGAGGCTGCTCCACATAAACTGCCAGACCTCGTCTTCTTTCCACTTCGCCGATCACACATGCTTTTCCCGACCACGACTCGCATGTTGACATTGTGTCTGAGGAAATGTTCTGTGATAACGTCCTGGTATTGATCAGCTATCTGTGATTATAGCTGTTGGGAAAGCAACCTGAATTCAATCTGGGGCGATTGTTTGATGCGGGAAGGCTGCAGTCTGCTACGGAGGGGGATGAGGACGCTGGGGTCCAGGGTTCATTAAAGGTGAGGGGCCCTCCGTCCCATCTGTAGTCCTGGGAGTCAGGTTCACCCAGAGGGTCTTGGGGGACCAGAGGTCTGGACGCCATGTCCATCTGGATCGATTTGCATACAGGGGCCAGCTGACTGAGGCGGCCCCTCCTGGATGGTGACGGAAAGAGGGCTGAACGGTGGATTCTGGAAACATGTTTATTTTTTTATTTTATTTTTTGGCGAATTGATCTCCGACACTAGCGTGACAGAGAGCGGCGTCCTCTGTC